TGGCATTCATCCGTTTAGCTTAGTTGTTAAAGTGTCTGGGCGCGAATTACGAAGACGTGGGTTCGATTCCCACAGCAGCGTGATACTTTTAGTAATTTCTTCTACATATTTTAAGCCATATTAATGTTACGAAATACTACATAAACCAAATACGTTATGATTAGTCAAAAAAGATAGCAAAATTTTTAAGGTGCACTTTAATTGTTTAAACTCAAGAACGACAAAAGTAGATTATACGAATTTCATTCACAATACACGCAATCACCTTCAATTCGTCATTGCGGTTGATCCAGGGATCGCCCGGATCGCCAGACATGTCAGCTAGTCGTCGATTGTTTTGCCCCAATTTAAAACTTTGCGGGGCGAAAGTTTTAAACTTAGCCTAAGCGATGGCTAATGGAGAGGAGGCGTTTTATAAGGGTTCATAATGAAAATGAACTCTATTAAAACTTTCCCTTATTTTTAAGTGCCTTGTCTACGTTTAAATTCGTCGATCGGATTTATGGAATACAGCTTGTTTTAATATTTGTAGGTGAAGTTATTTTATTTAAATAATATTTTATTAAATAAATTTTTCATAGTCAAAAAACTGTCTGACAACAAACAGGACACGAATCCGTGTACTCAATTAGCTAGAATAGTATATCAAAACGTGTTAGCCGTATATTATCCATAAATTTGCATCGGACAATACCCCGACCCCAAATTGCCGGTTGACCTTTCCAAACTAAATCACTTTCAATCCGCTGCAATACTAATTGCGCTGTGACCCAGCCCCAACCGAAATTCGATGTACTTTCGATTAACTTAATTTTATTTAATACCAAAAAAAACCGAACAAATCTCGGTCCTCCAGGTACTTACCTTATAATATAAGAAAAACATACATCGCTAATAAACACGTAATCCAGAAGGACACAGCCGCGTGTAAAGCTAGTGTTGTAAATAATATATTCCAGATAATAAATGAAAGATAGAATAATCAAAAAAAATTACCTCTGTACAGAACAGGCCTTTGCAGTGGCACATGAATAGTAGGTATAATGTTTTTTAAGAAACATTAAGTGAATGCTTCAAACGAGCACTTAGTATACTCACCGGAAAATGGTTTTTGTGCCCTAGTCACTTCCACTGAGGCATTTACGTATTTAGTTGAGGAAAGTTTAAGCTATTCTTTCGAGGGTCGGCTTTACGATAAGTAACGGCTAACAGCAACAAATTATAGTAAGGAAGAAAGGTGCCATTGGGTAAATACCATGATAGCTTAAATATGCTCATTATCTTATGATCTCCTTAGGAATTCCTTGCCCAGGTTCTACTTGTTGTTTTCCTATTTGTTTTAAAATTGAAATACGTAGAAAAGTACAATGCATAGATTTTTGAATTATATTGAGTATTCGAGTATATTGAATTAAATTTTGTTTTAATTCAAAATATACGCGAGCAAACTGAGTTCGATCCCCGGTGCCGGCACCAATTAAATTATTAATTTTAAGCGCTGACTTATCACGTGCTCAGCAGTGAAGGAAACAGCTTGAGGAAACCTGCATATTTTCGACATGATAACAAAGAAATATTTCCAACATAATTCTGTAAAGTCCGTCAATTCACAGTGGGGCCACACAGTGGATTAGGCCCTGATCCCCTCTGTACAGAGTAGGTGCTTGCTCAGCTGTGGGACATGTGTAGACTGTTGCTTTACTTTATGGCATGGCAATATTTTGTTTTGCATATATTTTAAGGCAAAAATGTATGTAAACATTTATTACACTAACATCCGAACAAATTCTCAATTGAAGACAATAAAATAAGCTATCGAAATGGAACTATCGTTACGCGGTATAAATTACCGATAATAGATCTGAGATGGAACGATTGGCCTAATGCGTTCACTACGCATTCACGCGGACACCTCAGATTATTAAATGGAAGACATGTGTAAGCGTGCTATTTATTTAGTATTTATAATTGGTTTACCCGATTGGCGTAGTGGTCAGTGTACCTGCCTCTTGCGCCGGAGGGTGTGGGTTCGATCCCCACTACTGGAAAAATATTGCGTGATAAACATAGTGTTTTTCCAGTGTCTGAGTGTTTATATATGTATATATAATATATATTTATTTACAAAAGAAAAGTATGTACATCAATTATTTAGTACGCGATGCTTAGTTTGGGACTAGAAAACGTGTTAAAATGTGTCCTGAAATATTTATTTATTCATTTATTATAGAGGATAATGACGTTTCTTGTCCACGTAAATGCGCCTAACGAGGCAACAAAGTACACTCAAAAAGGTAACGAAAGAAACATGCGAAAGGAAGTGAAGTAAGACCCTGTCCCTCAACCTTTGTTTTAAATTAAGATTTTCCTTTGACGGCACCGTTACCGTTAGCTGCCGAACGAGGGAAGTAATGTTTTCCTAATTTATTGAAACAGCGTCGAGGTATAAGCGAAGCGCGACTAAGTGACTCGTAATAATAGGGTATTAAGTATTAACCAATACATGTCCCACTGCTGGGCAAAGGCCTCCTCTGTACAGAGGGTATTCCATACAGGGCATATTCCACCACGCGGCCCCACTGCGGATTGGCGGACTTCACATATCTTCGACATATTTCTTTTTGTTATTGTTATTTCGAAATTATGCTGGTTTCCTCAAGATGTTTTCCTTCACCGCTTAGCAAGTGATAATTCGACACTTAAAAATAACAATTTCATTGGTGCCGACACCTGGGATCGAACTCAGGTCGCTCGAGTATATTGAATGAAAGGCGAGTGCCCGGCCTCTCTATCTATCACGGCTACATAATAGAAGTTAATTTTTATTTCAGTCTTACTCAACGGATTTTTTGTGTTTGCCTAAGTACTGCAAATTAAGTAAAACCGATAACCGTTGGAGAAGAAAGGTTCTCGAGTGGCAGCCTCGTACTGGCAATGGCAGTGTAGGACGGCCGCTAGATGGAGTGACGACCTGTGCAAGTGTGCGGGAAGTCGATGGATGAGGTGGATCAGGAACGAGCTTTGTGACAGTCTGTGGGCGAGACCTATGTTCAGCACTGGAATGAAACAAGCTGAAATGATGATGATGATGAAGTAAAGCTTAATGAAAAATAACTTACGGCCTATATTCATCATTGTCGTCATCATTTCAACATGTTTGAGTTCACTGCTGAACACAGGCCTCCTCCTAGTGTCGTCCTACACTGCGATGGCCAGTATGAGGCGGTCACCTTTCTTCCCCATCGGTTATCGGTTTTACGAGCTATATGGCCGACCTATCGACACTTTAGTTTACAAATCTTCTGAGCTGTGACGGTTATCTTTGTTTAAAATTGTTCTTGTATAAAAAATCTAGAAAGTAAAATAGTTAACACAAATAGACGTTTAATGATTTAGTGGTTGGGGGATGGGTTCGAAGCGTGGCGCGTTCCCATATCTTTCTCCTATGCGTGAAGGTTACTCTTTCTTATTTCTACTAGGTCAACAGTGATGTAATCACCAGACATCATTAGTCCCTCTCATTAGATGATTGGATACATTTATTACGTACGGGAATTCGATGCAGGTGGCTCAGGATTGTGCTTTGTGACAGTCTGTGGGGGAGGCCTATGTTCAGCAGTGGACTCAAACAGGCTAAGGTGATGATGGTGATTATGATACGTTTATTCCACCCACGCCGATCGGTATCCATGGACATTATACTATCGTCGATACGCTCGTCGCTCATGATTTGGACCGCGATATCCGTCAAGTGAACTCAACGAGACGGGCCTCTTATTGTGCCGTAAAAGCTAATGGCAGCGTTTTCAGTATCATATTGTTTTAAGGCTCGGCCGTTGTTGCGTCCTTATTACGTTATATACGTCAACGGTGAACGGTGAGCAAGCCGCTAGCGAAAACCGTACTTGTGGTCCCCACCTTTAGGTCTCAATTTCCGTGACGTTTCGGCGCAGGTTCCGTTATTTTTTTTTATTTAGTAATGTTTTCATTTATACAAATATTTCTTTGCAAACGACCAAGTGTTTGTAACATGTTGGTATTTTCCATTTACTATGGCTGCCCATAGCGTAGGGTCCTTTGAGGAGGAGGCGGTCTTTTCCTATTTATTGTAGATAAAAAGGGAATCTAATCCACTACCCACAACATCGATAATGATGACAACCGGGATCCAGGCTCTTTTTAATAAGTCAACAATATCTTTATATATATATAGCTCTTCTGTACGTGTGTATGTCACTGAACTCCTACAGGCGGCTGGACCGATTTTAATGAAATGTTTTACGTGTCTTCGGGTCCTTTCGGGAATTATTTAGATTCACAATTATTATTTTTTTTTATTTTTTTATTTTTTTATTTATAAGTTGTTTCATTTAAGTCTCGCATACAGGACGACTGTCGGATCCGCTAGGTAACAGATGATGATAAAAAAAGCTTTAAAAAATTATCATGCTCGCATAACTATAAACACATACCTTAAAAATATATATAAATTTCAGTGACATGTTTCACATGTTTTGATTTTCAGCAGTTCCAATTTATGCAGATAGATATATGTTTCAGATAATTATGTAGGATATTTTCAAAGATTATAATCTAAGAATAAATCCTTTAAAATAGACATTTCGAGAAGTTTCATTGAATGTTGAAAATGTCCATTAACCGCTTCACATTTATTGGTGCCAAAAAACCAACTTCTATAACAAGCAACATCACCAATAAAGTCAAGTGAAATAGTTCTCCGCAAAATAAAACACTTCGCGGCTTATTTCAACCTCTCAGGCTTAAGAAGTGCACAAAAAGAAATAATAACAATAAGAACGACTGCGTGCTAAACATTTTCAATTTAAACTCCACAACGAGAAAAGGTTTTTTTGTCTGCTTTCCGCTGGAGCCCTTGTCTATGCCCAATAATAGTAGTCTCTGATGTTAATTTGTCCGGTGAATAATTTGCAAACAGGCGGTCTGTTTGGAAATTATTCGTATCCGAAGCCGAAGCGGAAATGTTATGTCAAGGTGGGGTGTGACGGGCGTGGCTTGATTAATTTTAATTCGTACCCTAAGTGAATTTATTAAGCGAAGTTTTATTAAATTCCGCCCGCTCCTATTATGATACGGATTCATCGGAAGTCTTGCGCTGACAAGAGAATGAGAGATGACGCTTCGTGGCTTTTCAACCGTTACGTTTGCCGCAGTTGATTTCTAAGATGTTGCATGAAGTGAAGGCTTTTGTTAAGAACGACTTGAGATTTTATAGTTAACAGATTTTATAGTTGTTGATATATCCCCGATGAGTACATTTACAGCAACTTCGAGGTTTTTTCTTAACCTCCATAGACTCGACAAAGTTAAGTTCTGCTTTTGCACTAATGGGCAGGCTCGAAGTACCTGCCACGGCCTCACAGAAAACCTGCTTAAAGTGGAAGTAATAAAGAACTTACGCGTTTCATTTGGTGAGTGAGATAATCGGGGCCTCACTTTTTCAAAAGTTGTCGTCTTGGTGGCATCTGAAAGGCCCTCAGATGCTGTAGACATTCATGAGCGGTGGTATCCACTTAACATCATATGGACCGCTTGCTCACTTGACAACTTTTCATATAAAAATAAGACAACTAGGTGTGTTTATATAAACTTGCGTAGTTAAAAACTTCAAGGATATTATTTAAACTGCACTTGATGTTTAAGAAAATGGCCTCAGTGAATAAATTTAACAATATTTCGAAGTTTGTATCATGATTTCATAATGTATTATTTGATCAGGATCCAATATTTGCAAATACTTTTATCACTTGAGACTCAAATCCGCGTAAAAATTACTACAGCATACAACTTCCTTCGTTAGTGTTTAACCCATTCGCGGTACATTAAGTTAAAACTATACATTAAGTAGTTTAATTAAATTTTTTCAACAACTATAATTATTGACATTAATTCCAAATGTTAACAAAATATAAATTCGAAATAAGTACAGAAATTTTTATGGTGTGCTTACATAAAAATAAATTAATTAACTGCCTCTCACGCCCTAACATTTGTTTCAACAAATTTGACAGAAAAGCGTTCGTGTAAATAGACATTGTCTATATACGCAAACGCTCGGGGCTCTTCTCATCATTATATATAACGCGCAACTCTAAAACCGTTATTAATTAAAACATCGACAACAAAAAAAAAAACGACACGACACGAATACGCTGGCACGCATCATTGTTCGTAACCGAGAATGCTGTTCTCGAAATAATAACGCCCACGTCGACGGGCTGAGGACGTCGAAGTCAAAAGTCTGGCACATCACTAGCGGCCCAAGAGCGGTGCCAACTGCACCGCCACGTAACGAGGTAATTACACCAACAATGGCCGTACCCGTCGACGAATGGCCTACCAGATTCGACTCGAAACAGAATCTATTGTTTGATTCATACCGACGCGACGCGGCCGCAATTATATTTTTATTACGTTTTTTCCTGTTCCCGTTTATATAATACACCCCTCTCGCGGATATTTGCGACGTTCCCAGTGTGGTTTCAGTTTTTCGGGTCTCGTGACGACATTGATTTGTCGCTTGCACGTTTAACGTGTCGTTACACGTAGTTACGTGAATCTATGTTCCCTAATGTTAGGTCACGTATTTTTCAGAATTACTCGAACGCGTGTTAATAACATTTTAGAGTCTTTATAGACGTTTATGTCTTGAACTTGGAATGGTTACTGGTTATTAAAGTTATAGAAATTAGTTGAATAAAGATGTCGTGAAAAGATATTGTTATTCTTCTCAGCTATGGAAGGATAGAAGAACGGCCAAGAAAGTTGATTAAATATGGAAAATATTACCTGTGTTTAATCACAGGATTATTCTTATTTCTAAATTTTTATAGCGTAACTTGTTTTAATCATTGACAAATTAAGAACAAACTAGTTTAGCTCAAGAAGTCTTAGACTTACAAAAAAAAACTTGAAAAAACATCAATATATTTTTTGCATTGCTCTCGGTTTCCTCCATATTAATTTCATTCGTACTGTACATTGGATTAAGCAGTGTCTCAAGTTACCAATCCTCAATATCAATCAGAAAATGATTACTGAGTGGGATATTTGAAGTTGGGGTCTATTTTTTGTTACTAAAAATGTTACGTATATATGAATTACTTTTGAGAACATTTTATTGAAATACACTTTCCGTTGTTTCAGAAGCCGATTACACACTGGATGATTCATTTTGGAATGAAGAGAGCCCAGTTGGTGAGTATTCCACACATTGTTCAGATAATAATTGAATTTAAGACTTTCAATGCCATGCGGAAAATTTTAATTTCAGTGAGATGGGAAATAAATTTTTTCTCCTGGTTAGTGTTTATTTTGCTCAATATAACTCAATACGTCATTTACATACTTTTATTTTAAGTAAATAAGATGTTACATACTCTTATTACATATCACGCGTTATCACGTGAACAGCTATTCGGAGACCGCCGCCTATCACGCTAAGAGATATTTTACTTTTACACTTAAACAGAATTACATCTAGTGCATTCTTATGTGTAAATACGAGTTGTCAACTTTGAAACTTCCTCGAGTGGGAATTTGGGATACTAGACTAAAATCATTCATGTTTTCTTAAATAAACAACACAAAAAGCCCCAACACAACCGGTTGTCTCCTCGTCGCACTGAACGTAAAATCATCCGCGTAATTCTTAACGACCCCAGTGCCGTACGCAGCGGTACCCGCGATGAGGCCTTAAAAATGCAGCGGCTCGTAAAAACGCGGCCTTCCAGGATATCCCGCTATACATCGCCCGGGGCCGGGACACTCGGGAAGTGGAGCAATAACCGTAGCCGGTGCTTTTTGACGACGCTTAAGCTGCGTTTCCACTGGGGGTGGAAATAAAAAAAAAACTTTTAATAGAACAAAATATCAAAGCTGGAGCTTCAAGCGCTTGGCGTGAGAACGACAGCAGTTTATTTGACAGTACGCCAACGGAATGATGTTTAATAATATAGCTGACGCATACTGCGCGACGTTTAAAAATATATAAGCGAATGTGATGATATAGAACGTATAATACGGAAAGAGATAGCAGTCTATATAATTTGAATCTAATTAGTAATTTCGGTGCGATAGTGTCATATGTATCTCGTATTTGTATATTAAATCCATGCACACCAACACTGCTAGACCTCAAGATACCATAAGCTCCTTTTGCGTAGATAGTGAGCCGGGGACCACTTTATTAAAATATGACCACGTAGCTGCAATTATACTGGTATTGCAAATGTCCCTGGGCGGCTGTTGCCACTTAACATTAGGTGAACCGCCAACTCGCTTGTTAGCTACTCTCGTGCCTCGCACAGCTGTAGTCGTAACACTCCCTATACTTCCCCAAGGTTTACGACAATAAGGTGACTTTTACGCAACTTCTTTTTTTTACGCCCTCGCATAAAGTGCGTCGCTTCGGGACCGTGACAATTTTAGCGTTTCGCTTGCGGGTAACTGGCGATTTCCCGGAACAGAGTTTTTGATGCCGCACATGGCGAGGTATGATCTATCTGGTTTAAATCTTTTTTTTTGCTTTTTTTTTAAATAGCATTGCCCTCACTTTAGGATTACTTTATCCCATATTGTAAGGACGTTTAACAAACATAAATTTCACATTGACAAACACGCAGATGCGAATCAACTATCTGTGGGTCGAACAAATTGCTGTCCCGTGTGGGAATCGAACGAACGACCCCCGACGCCGAAGCCAATGCCTTGACAACTGCGGAGTTATCGCATCGACATTTTATCACGGCCGCCTTTATTGGTATTGGACACAAAATTAATACTTTTAAGACTGACGGTTGTGGTACTTTTCGTCTTGTAAGGGAGGTAACCGGGGCCAACTCTTTAACAGGTTAGCAACGCAACTGCTACCCGTCTTGTGTTATAGATGCCCATGGGCGGTGGGAATTGGTTAATGTTAAGTTAACCGCTTGCTCGATTCCCAACATTTCACAAAAAAAGAATGGTTTAAAAATAATAAGCGGTCATCCTATGTCTTACACTATAACAGGATTATGAATGCTGCAGAGTATCAGGATCGTCATGAATTTAAAAATAGGAAAGAAACGAAATAATTTAAATATTTTCATTTAATAATTTAAGCTTGTTTTCATCGTAAACTTACAAAATGTACCTGGTTACAGGTTCAGATATATAGATAAAACCCCATCAAAGGCAAGAAACTGCGTTCACTTATGGTGAGTTTTAATTAAATCACAAAATTCTTCGGCGGACCGTCTCGAAACTAAAATTTCCCGGTTCCGAATCATAGCTAGTTTCTTGGGATAACACGGTAGTACGTTGGCGGTACGGTTTCCACATACCCACGCCCTGCTTTGTTTCCGCCACACGTGTGTTCGGCTACACGCAATCAACGTCGCCGTTGGTGTAACTTTTGATAAATTTGCAATTAAATCGGATTTCATGTCGCTAGTTTGCCCGAACGAGTTCATCCGCTTCCCTTAAGTTATGATGAGCTCAAATAACTGGTTCATTATTAGCGCTTATCGTTATGAAATGAACAAAAGGCTATGTATAAAGCTCAGATTTATTTTCATATCAGTATGTCAAATAGGACGCAGTGTAGGACGGACCCCCCACTAGTGCAAGTTGACCTGTGCAAGTGTGCGGGGAGTCGATGGATGCAGGTGGCTCTAACAGGCTGAAATGCTGATGACGATTAAACAACGAAAACTACAATCCACAATTGAAACTAAAAAACTTCTCGCATTAGCATAAGCAAAAACAAAAACAAGCGCTTCATACTTAACATTCGTCGAATCTCATTCCAAACTAGCTGTTCCCGCAACTTCGTCCGCGAATTATAATATATATATATTAATAAAAATAAATAAAATATCTAAAATAAAAGTAGTCTGAGTTACTCCTTATTACATCAGCTGTCTGCCAGTGAAAGTCACTTCAAAATTGGTCCAGCCGTTTCAGAGATTAGCCGGAACAAACAGAGAGAATGTTATTTTGGTATATGTACCGTGTCTACACCGGTTATTTGAGTGTTACAAACAGAAACCACAATTTTATTTATCTGTATAGATGTGTTGATTAGAGCGAAGGGTCCGAATAAACACCATCCAAGATTCAAACTCAGCAAAATCGCGTCGAACATCCGTACTATGTAAACTGTACTTAAAGTTCCAAAACCGATTACGGAGCGGCCGCACTCGCATCGAAGCGATCGCACGTCTGTTCCCGGATTTACATGTCGCATGCATTCACATGCAAATGTTTCTACGAGACGACGTCCGCCTATGCGGTCGCTTCTTGCTAAACGATGTCTCACGACACACGTTCTGTTCATAATGTCGAGCGAGAGATAACGATAATATAATTATTTACAAAACACAGTAACTCTTAAGTAGGCCCGTGTTGGAGGCTTTAGAAATTTATCTTTGAGCTTTTAGCTAGTTGAAATGATCATCTGTATCTTTGGCTCTGTGTATAATCTAATAATAATAATAATAATAATAATAATGTATTTATTTGCGAAATATAGGTTAGGCATGAGGTGTACAACACAGTAATTTTTATCGCTATATTCTACCCATTTTGTAGGGTGTGCAAATATGATATGTTCGCTTAAAGGTTGTCAGTATACATTCTCAAATTTCTTAATTATTAATAAAATAATATATGGTGTGTACACCATGTTTTAACAAATAAAGATCTGTCTATCTATCATCAGCGTTTCAATGTGACAAATAATAATTTTGAACAAAAAAAACCGACTTTAAACAGGAAACTACTAAAACATTGTCAACGCCTATAACATTTGAGGATTGCCCACGATTTCTCTGGGATGCCATCATCAGATCTGGGTTTCCTTATCGTGGTACCACCCTTGGGATATCTCCTTTCCAACAAAAAAGGAATCATCAAAATCGGTTCATAAAAATGACAAAGTTATCCCCGAACACACATAAGAAAAAATAAAAATATATACGGCCGAATTGAAAACATTCGTGGCTCATTTCAGGGTACGCAGTAATCTTCCAGCGATTGATGAATGTAGATCAGCATTAGTTGCACATATTATCTCATTTATACGAGTTTTTGGAGGTGTTTCTTTGTCAGAATGCAGGAGTCCCTCTCAGTACTGTATCGAAAAATTAACGAATGAGACAGCATTTTGACGATTATGCTCCCAGTTTATGTAAATCGAACAAAGAGTTAAAGGTCAATGTTTTAATTACTTAGAGAACTTAAAAGCATAATTCGTCACACCATCTGTAAAAGACGAGTTGCTTTTCGAAAAAAAAATGAATAACAAAAATGAAATTTTGATTTTTAAATTCAATGTGATATAGTATTCACATCACTTTTTACACTTTTTAACCGACTTCAAAAAAGGAGGAGGTTTCTCAATTCGACCGTACATATTTTTTTTTATGTGTGTTCGGGGATAACTTCGTTATTTATGAACCCATTTTAATGATTCTTTGTCTGATGACTCCGTGGCGCAGTTGCCAATGTATTGGCTTCGGCGTCGGGGGTCGTGGGTTCGATTCCCACACGGGGCAACAGATAGTTTCGCATCTGGGTGTTTGTCCGTGTGAAATTTATGTTTGTAAAACGTCCTTACAGCACAGGGTAATGTAATCCTAAAGTAAGGGCAGTTATTTAAAAAAAAAAAAATTATAGGAGTTGTTTTACTTTCCTGTTTGAAGTCGGTTTTTTTGTTCAAAATTATTCATCACGCCACCATTTGCACTTCCTTTCCGGCACTAACTTCAGCTATCAATACATCGTTACAGAACAGAACAAGGCCATACTTGTCACGAATTACTTACCCCCTCAAACAAAGTTTAGTATCTCCACTCTAGCTTTTATCGTGTACTGGCGACCCACCCCGGCTTCGCGCGGGTGCAATGTACTATTCATTTAAACCTTCCTCTTGAATCACTCTACTAAAAAAACCGCATCAAGATCCATTGCGCAGTTTTAAAGATCTAAGCTTACATAGGGACAGACTGACGTCGGGTCGACTTTGTTTTATACTATGTAGTGATAATGTTTTGTCCCCCTCTATCGATGCATTCGTCTACACCGCTTGACATTCGCGCGCGTAAATACGAAATTGCCACATTCGGTAGCAGACATTAAATTGTGACATTACGAGAAGAGCGTCCCTAGTGCGGGTACAGTCGCACTTGTGAGAGTCGAGCGCGTCACGCATGCTC